ATGTGGTGAAGGACGACGTGCAGGAAGTTGGAGTGATAAAGAAGAAAGAAGGAAAAGTGTTGAAATGCCAGTACAATAAAAATAAAAGCACATTTAATCAGCAAACTTGGCTGCTTTTTTTTCCTTATTCGATTGTTTAAAAGGCACCAGAGCAAGAACGTTTATGTCTCCATTGAACAGGACCCCACAGAGATGAAAGGTCCAATGTGTTGTACTTTCAGCATTATCTTCACACTAAGTTGCCACCACTTTGACACAACTGTTTATATCACAAAACAGCATTAAAGCAAGCAGAACTGAATATCAGCAATTTGCTCCCAGTTCAGTTAATACACCGACTCTGTGTCTGTTTAAATTGCAGCAGCAGCAGCAATGTCGCAACTGTGCTTGTTCTGAAATAACAGGCTGAGATGATAACAAAGGGAAGCATGCTTTCCTTTGTGTTTCCTCTGTGTGTGTTTCAGCTTTGTTGGCTCTGCTCCTTTGTTACAACCACAATAGCGGCAGAGGATTTACTGCAGGGTGCAGTCCTGTCCAGCAGAGGGAGCTCCGTCACGGTAACTGTCAATCAAGACAAAGCACTTCAGCCTGTCATCAAGAGGGTAGAAACAGGAGAAACAAAGCAGGCACCGATATTTAAGCTACAGATTTATGATGAAGGACATTTTCAACACAGTTCTGTTATTCTGAATGCTTCCATGTTTTCTACATTTAATAACAAGCCAAATAGTTGTTTGTGCTCGTCCTTCCTTTGTTTGTTCACCTGTCAGCGGGAACACATGGAGTTCAGCATCTTGCCACACAGCACTTTGTACTTGGCAGGGATGAATAAACTGCTCTACCAGATGTGCATGACACATTTATTGATCATTTCAGCCCCAAAAAGACCCAGGAAAGGATAGTTTGAACAGGAAGCAACTGTCGCGTTTGTTATTACACTTAATAAACCTAATAAATCATTTAAAAAACAATCAAAAACAAAAAAATACCCTTAAATACAAAAAGAAAGCTACTTTCTGCTCCTCCTTTAATCACAAGGAGTCACCACAGCAGATTTGGCAGATTTTTTATGCTTGATGCCCTCTATGGGTTTTGTGTCTCTTCATGTAAAAATTGAGTGCAAATAACCTTTCGGTTTCAAGTATAACTATTTAGTATAGATAGAGATTAAATTTTAAAAAACAAAACAAAACCCACAAACCGCGGCTAATTTTGGCCCTCGTGCCCCAGTTTCGGCATGCTTTTTAAGATCTTTTAGCCTAATTCACTTTGTCAGAGACTGATAACTATTTTTTCCATGCAGGGCCAGGTAGGTTTTAATAGCATTTTTCCACTAATGAATGAAATCCACATCTAAAAACTATTTTGTATATACTTGGGTTATCTCTGTGTAATGCTAAAACTTATGTCATGATCTGAAACACAAGCTGTGCAACGATTCAAAGGAGTATAAATAAAGCTTTAGTCACAGCACATCTGACATCTGGTCCACATAAGGTGGACCTGTGGCTGAGTCTACACAGCCAGACTCACCTCGCATATTTTTATGTAGCCCATAAAAAACAACAGATGATAGCCACATTTGAGCCAAATATTTATTACTATTACTATTATTTATTTCTATTAAAACACTTAGATTGGTGCCTCTTATCCCTATTAAACTTATTCAGGGGAAGGTTGCTTGTGTGTGAAATAATCAACTCCTGCCGCAGTTTCTAATCTCCTTTTTGCGTGTATTTGCAAACCCAGACAACTGACGTCAGCGCAGGAACTAAATAAATGCCCTGATGCAAGCACATGGGCAATATTTGCATCTTTAACGTGACACAATGGCTTCTGGTTTGACTGACACTTGTGCGCATGCAAAATCATACCTGTAAAAGTCTCTTTGTTGTCCCACACAACATCTGCCTTCTGCAGATAGATGCATGCAAATTGACTTTTAAAAAAATCGCAAAACAGCTTGTTTTACTTAAAACTCATGGGCCACACCTTTTATCTGGAACATTACTCAGCCACAGTGCATGAATGTTCATGTTCTTACCCTTAACTGAAAGAGAACTTTGTGTGTTTGAGAGGCAAATAAACAACGTTTGAGATTCTGGAGAATTTCAGAGGTAGCAGGATCTACATTTTTCTTCCCTCTGTGTTGTATATGAGTCAGAAAAAAGTGTAAAGCTACATAAGTTCATGTGTTCTCACAGCTGCAGAGTTAACAGGTTGATAGGGTTCAGAGGCTTTCACAGGTTTGAGTGGTCTCATGCCAGACAGAGGTTAGCAGAACCGGCCTTCCTTTGAAAAGCAGCTGATATTTCCCCAGGGAAGAGTTAGGTTGCCTGTAGGCTCGAGTGGTAGCTAGCCCCCATTGTGCGAGAGACTGCAGGTTGATATTTTGGCTGTCATAATGCCGTCCAGCTTCTTTCCTGTAACAAAAGGTTAAAGAGGTGAAGGAATGAAAGACCAAAGCCTCCACATATAGATTGTATAAGAGGGTGAAAGCACAGTGCTTTAGCAACACAGCTTAAAGAATAATTTATTGCTCAGGTACCCAAGCTGTACTCAAGTTTTCTTTCATTTGGGAGAATTAAGATTTGGCAGGTTTAATTCCAGCTCGGTGACCGCTAACCATGTAATGTTACCTTGCATGAAATTGCAGACATGCAGGAATCACACCGGATAGCAGAAAAACATTTTAATTTGATGATCCTGATTAAAAATGAAACATAAAAATTACATTAAACAAGAAGAAGAGTTCTCTTTGTTTACATGCTCCAGCTGAGTCGTAATTGATAACATTTCATCAGGGTCGCAAGCTTTAAATTACAACTTATGAGTAATTGTGATCATTTTAAAGTTTAGAATACTTTTAAAAAGAAGCTTAATAGTTACATTGTCAAGGATTACTTCATTACATCAAACTTTTTTAATGACAGAAGGTACTTCCAGTTGTTCCCTTGTGTCTCAAGGTCTACAGCAGATGGATCTGCATGTTCAATTTATTTACAATTTATATACATCAATGGGAGAATATACAATTTTCATAAACTCTGATCGGCTCTTGCTGTTTTTCCATTTATTAAATGACCACGTTCAGCCGTGTTACTAAACTGTATGCCTTTGTCTTGAAAAGTAAACTGGAAATGCGTGTCGATGCCTTCGTCTCCTCTCGCTTGGATTAATCACCTCCAATCATTCCAACATGCTGCTTTAAGGCTTTCATGGAACTCTCACAAGTTTTCACTTATAACCCAACTTTTAAAGCTTTTGCACTGTCTCCCTGTCAGGTTTAGAGCATGTCATCTTCTCTTCAAGCCGGCTCTTTAGAGCTTCTTGTGACTGCTATGAAGACTTTTCTTATCCCCGAAAAGTGCTATAAAAACAGACTTTACTTAATTAATATTATGGCACCTGGCATACCGTGGAGATAGATTACACCAGTGTGTTTGTAAGGGTTTGATTTGACCAAATGCAACAGGTGAATATTCACAATGTGTTTGCATCGTTTTGAGATGTTTAAAGAGATATGTGTGACAGTAAACATGTTGTAGATATACACAGGTCCAATATTTTCTCTGTTTTTTTTATTGTAAAATCAAAAGCAGAGTTGCAGCATGAGTTTTCTTTAGGTCTTTGCCATTTAAAGGGATGCATTCAGAGGCCGACAGGTGGTCCCCGCATAGAGTTAAGGGTATGATTCCCACCAGGGCCAGCTGCACTAAACATGATCTCGCTCATGACACTGAAAGGTGTTTGGGATAAAAGGTTCCAGCAAATTGTCACATGCAAAGTGTAGTAGAGGCTAAGAAAGCCGAGCGTGGCATTCTCCGCAGTGTGTAAGAACACAGATACCGCCCCTGGGACGTAGGGGGAAAGTCCTCCTTGATTACTCTATCTAAGTTTGTTGCAGGAGCTTAAAGTTCTGCTGTCACACATGCATGCTCTCTTAATAAGCGTTTAGTGACAAGTTGCTGCCTTTAGGCAAAAATCTTAGGATCAATCTCAGGTCAGAGGGAATGCAAGTGTGGTGCCAGCAGGTGTAGTATGTTCAGTGAATTTTGTTCTTTGCATTCACGTTACTCACACTAAATGCCTAATTTCTTGTTTCTCACATTGCTTTGAAATGTCTCCTCCACTTTTCTGAACATCTGTCTTTTTAAAACAACTCTAAAGCAAAAATAATTTGCTCGTCTGCGTGAAATTTGCTATATGATAACATTTCCTAAGATTATAAACAGGCGAACACAGTGACATTAGAAGTGCATTTTCACTATTAAGAATGCATTATTGTAAAAGTAGCTGGCCAGTGTTGCCACCAATTAAGGTGGAAATCATTCCACATGCTGTATTCTCTTTAAAAACATACGTTTTTTCTGTCAAATACATATGAACCAGATATACTATTCACTATAAATAAATACAGTGGTGTGCAAAATATAGTATTTCCAGTTACAATACAGTGAATCACAACCACAGATTTGCACAAGTGTTTTCGAATTATACTTTAATACCACTGATAAAAACCTCGGTTTCTTATTTTATTTTATTTCAAGATTACTTTATTTAAGATTATTACAAGAATTACTCAGTAGTGGCTCATTTACGCTTGTTTTTTGAGTTTGTATAATATTTGATAATAAGATCTAACATAAATAGCCAAAAAAATGGAACTTGACCCAAGATTTCGTCTGATCACAGCGCGCGGGTGGGGGGGACTCCGAGTCTGCTGGTCTGGGAACAGTTTCCTACACCTAAACAGTTGCTGGAAAGCTCAACAGCAGGTTCTAGATAAGCCCGAGAAAGTCACCGCCTATTTTGAAAACTTCAGTAAACTCCACGCTACGCGATTTGCCAAAGTTATTGACGCAAAGCTCCAATATCTCGCACCGATTGGTTTCGACTTCTGTCAACGGCTGACAGTCAAAGTGACGGACCAATCAGAGCCCGTCTCTGCCCCTTTGTTCCTCCCGTTCGCTCGGTGACGCAGGGGGTCATGTGTTGTTTGTGCTGTGGCCCGTAGAGATGTGTACAAGAGGAGAAGGGAAAGCAGTGCTAACCGAGCTAGCTGGATCCTCCCGATTATAGAAACACGGCTGAACGTGGTCATGTTGCACGCGGTGGGCTTTATTTCGTGAAAAAAAAATAAAAAGCAAAGCTCACGCTGGAGTACCTGCCTCGCCGCTGAGAGGGCAAAAGGGACTATTTTCTTCAGACGGAACAGCAAAGCCGGTTTGTGAGTGCTGCAAATCTGAGCCGTGTGTGTGTGTTTGTGAGTCAGTTAGCTGGCCTAGCCGGACTCAGGAGCTCGTCTCCCAAAACAAGAATGGGGTCTAGGTCCGCTCGGATTAGCTTGCTAGTAAAGTGACCTTTGATTGTGTTCTCTGATGGCAAATTTCACGAACTATCAGGAAGGCAAGGCAGCGATGTTGATGGTGGAGACACAGCAGAGGGACGTGGGGACGAAACCTGCGGCCGCCACCGCTGCAGCCGCAAACGGAGACGGCTCGGTCGGGGAACCCCCTTCCCCGTTAATTAATGTCGGCGGAGGAGCCGGAGGTGGTGGTGGTGGTGGTGGAGGAGGAGGCTCTCGTTTCCACCATTTACCTCCGTCAAACCACTTCAACCTTAGCCACCACCAGCCGCCAAAGGATCAACAGCAGCACCATCACTGTCAGCAGCAGCAGCAGCAGCAGCATCTTTCTGGGGAAAACATCGCAGAGTCTCCGGGCAGGAAAGCCACCGCCGCCTCCTCCTCCTCGCCTTTCAGCCAGGTACACACCGCCGAGGACCCCGCCGCTGGCAACAGCCATGTATACGCAGCTGTGAACGTCGTAAACACCTCAGACGTGGTGGATGATATACGAAAATGTGGCTATTTAAGAAAGCAAAAGCATGGACACAAGAGGTTTTTCGTGCTGAGGGCTGCCAGCCACCTCGGCCCCAGCCGCCTGGAGTACTACGACAGCGAGAAGAAATTCAGGAACAGCCTGCGCTCTGCTGCTGCCGCCGCGGCAGCCTCCTCCGCCTCCGCCTCCAGCAGTGGTGGAGCCGTCCTCCCTTCTCCTCCCAAAAGAGTGATTTACCTCTACCAGTGCTTCACCGTGAACAAAAGGGCGGATTCCAAAAACAAACACCTCATTGCCCTTTACACCAAGGATGAGTACTTTGCCATTGTGGCTGAGAATGAGCAGGAGCAGGAGGACTGGTATGTGGCTATCAGTGAGCTGATGAGCGAGGGCAAAAAAGGACACTTAGACTCTGATGATTTAGATGATGGATATGGTACGGTCACCCCTGGTACTGTGTTTAAAGAGGTGTGGCAGGTGAATGTAAAACCCAAAGGACTGGGTCAAACCAAAAACCTCACAGGTGTTTACCGGCTATGCCTCTCTACCAAAACCATTCACCTCGTTAAGTTGAACTCTGAGACGCCCTGTGTCAACTTGCAGCTGATGAACATCAGGCGCTGCGGACATTCAGAAAGCTTCTTTTTCATCGAGGTGGGCCGCTCCTCCTCCATCGGGCCTGGGGAGATATGGATGCAGGTGGACGACTCTGTTGTGGCCCAGAACATGCATGAGACCATCCTGGAAACGATGAAAGCGCTGAAAGCGTTTGCGGAGTTTCGGCCGAGGAGTAAGAGTCAGTCGTCGGGCTCCAATCACATGCCTTTTATCACGACGCGGCGCCACCTGGGCAACCTTCCGCCGAGTCAGACTGGGCTGCAGCGACGGTCGAGGACAGAGTCCGTGGTTGGCACGCCGCCGTCGACTAAAAGCAACATGGCTAGTGGCTATCGCTTTCGGACATCCAGTGAGGGCGAGGGCACAATGAACCGGCCGTTCCGCTCTGCCACTGGAAGTTTGGTTCACCTAAACACTGCGAGGCCCCATCACGGTCGTCAGGATATGGGCAGTGGTGGTGGCGGCAGCAGTGGGAGCGGCGTCGCCACAGGAAACGCTGGTACAAGCACCGGCAGCGGACGCTATGTCAGAGCTATCCCAGGGGCAACATCCACCTATCATGCCCGCTCTGCCTCGTTGCCAGTCTCCCATTTTCCCTCCACCACTAGCCCAGTGAGCGTCTCCTCCAGCAGCGGCCACGGCTCCGTCTCCGACACGCTCACCCGCCCATCGAGCGCCTCAATATGCGGCTCCCCGTCAGACGGTGGCTTCAACTCGTCAGATGAGTACGGCTCCAGCCCAGGTGACTTCCGTTACTTCCGGGTGCGGAGCAACACACCAGACTCTCTTGGCAACACCCCACCAATCAGAGAAGAGAACTGTTTAAATGATTACATGGCCATGGGCTGGAACCGGGAGGTCTTTGGCACCAATGCGGGCTCCGGAAACAACAGTGGAGCTGACACGCCGCGGGATGAGAGCACGTCAACAACAGAGGATGAGCGCTTTTCTTCATCATCACTGAGGAGGAGGACGCACTCTTTTACCAGACCGACTGGTGGCGCGACCGGAGTGGCAGTCTATCAGAAAATGACACAGACTAACTTCTCACTGGATGAGGGATCGGATGTGGTGTTGCCATTTGGCAGCGGCCTGCTCCGTGGGGGGCCGTCGTCCTCCTCTTCCTCACTGCGCTCTGACTACAGCTCCTGCTCCGAACACAGCCAGCAGAGCCGTCCCTCCACACTCTCCCGAACGGAGGCCGGTTCCGAGCGCCCTCCCCTCTCCTCCTCCGCCAAGGAAGACAGCGGCTATATGCCTATGATGTGTGGCGTGGCGGTGTCGCCGAGGGACACTCCCCCTGACTACATGCCTATGCAACCCAGCTCTTACTCCCACCACATCTCCCATTCTCCTCAGTTTCACAGTCCAGCTTTAGCTACACGCTCAGCCCACCATCATCACCCCCAGCTCCAATCCCAATCCTCCACCAATTCCCACGGCTACATGATGATGCTCCCGGGGGGCAGTTGCAGCTCCCCTTCCCCAGTGCAGGCCTCTCCCAGCCCTCACAGCAGCTCCAGCCTCATTGGGGCGTGTGCAAGCGACAGCATTGCAGAAAGACCCGAGAATGGGGAATATATGGACATGTCGTACAGTAGTGGTGGGGGGCGCAAGGTCACAAATGAAGGGAGCAGCAGATATTATACAACTGGCACACCTGAGAACACCCCAAAGCCTTACAGCCCTTATTTCTCTCTCCCTCGCTCCTATAAGGCCCCCAGCAGAGAAAGGGAAGAGAAACATAAAGAGTATGGGGAGTACGTTCCTATGAGCTCTCCTGCTAAACCAGTCTACTCATCAGTCGCCACATCTTCAGTGTCAACACCAGAAAAGAGGGGTGGGGGAGGTAGTAGCACCTCCACTCCCTCTCACCCACCTCCGCCTTATGGCGCTCACCATACGACTGCAGCAATGGCTGACAGGCGTATTGTGAGGCCCAACCGCCTCCCTTTAGGCCGAAGAAGTTTCCACGGACCGCTGCGAATTAGTGAGCCTTCAACAGCATCTGCAGGCACCTTGACTTCAGTCCCTGCCACTGGCAGCTCCTCTGAAGGGCCTTCCAGTCCTGGAGAGTATATTAATATAGAGTTCGGTGATCACTACCCTCTCCAGCAAGAGCCACCCGCCTACCCTCACTCTGCCCAAGACGAAGCGCCTTCCCTGGGATCCGGTGACCACTGTCGCTCCCCTCCTCAGGATTACATGAGTGTGGAGGTAGGGGCGGACCAGCAGGATAGTTCTGGTTGCCTGGGCAAAAACCAGTCACCCAGACCGAGCCTAGTTGCCCCATGGAACCCACCCAGCTATATCCGACCACTGGCTAGCAATCCCGGGGCGGTGGCCTCCCCTGGAGTGCAGGTCGGAGGTCACTGGAGGCCAGTTGGGGACGACTACACAGACATGACGTTTAACCTCAGCAGAGGTGACGGGACACAAACGAGCCCTACAGCCATGCTGCAGCATCTCTGTGTGATAGAGGGGCGTTACGGCCACCCTCCCCACACCACCTCCTCATCCATTTCTCCCCCCCTGCCCCCGACGAGCCCAGATAGGGCGCCAATGCAGCCGATGGAGCCCAAAGTGGTTCGAGCTGATCCCCAGGGCAGAAGAAGACACAGCTCAGAGACATTCTCCTCCACCTCTTCCTCTAATTCAACGCCTCCTAGTGGAGGTCTTGGCTCCTCGGCCACACACCCCACCCTTTCTAACCCCTTGGCCCCCAACGGATCTTATGTAACGGAGGGACAGGCGTCTAGATGGGCCAGCTCGGCGTCTTTTGACAGTGTGTGGATGTCTGTGGAGGGTCTGGGTGACTCTCCAGCTCACCACGCCCCGGCAAGAACCACAGAAACAGGTACGGCCTCCAGGACTTCAGCAGCATCCTCCTCCTCTTCCACGGGGCCCGGAGCCGGCAGAATGTGCAGGAACATGTCAGTTGGCTATCAAAACGGCCTCAACTACATCGCCTTGGAGCTGAGGGAGGATGGGAGTAATACGGGAGCTGTGACGTCGGGAGCAGGTAGCAGCAGTGGGAGCACGGCATCGGTGGTGGCGGCTGCAGGGGGGACGGTGCCTCTGCCAGAGAACAGAGCCTACGCCAGTATAGACTTCACCAAATCAGACGGCGTCACTGCAACAACCAAGGGTGAGTCAGCATAAGTGATGATTTTGTGTTAGTGTTATAGATACTAATTTTTGTTCTGCACATGCTCACTTTCCTTGTGTGTGGAAAAACACAGTGTCTGGCTTTGTGTGTGTGTGTGTCTGTGTCTGTGAGTGATCTTTCATGTGTGAGTAAAAGTGTATTTTTTTTTTCTCTTCTTTTTTCCCCCCTCTCACTGAAATCCAAAATAACCGTTGAGTGCTGGATGCTATTATTAGCTGCATTGTATCAATTTGCAGCTCCTCCAGTGAATCTATTTTGAATCAAGTCTCTGTGATCTTGACAAGGCAGCGTTCACGCGCGCTGAGTCTTTTGAAGGCATCTGCCCAGGGAGCTGAAGCCTAGGCTATAACAGTGCTCGTACAGAAAGTGGCACCAATATGCAGTTCATCTTGAGGTCTGCGCACGCTGTGTGCAAACACACTGGTAGACGATTAGCTTGCTGAATGAACGGAGGGTTTATCTGAGGTCAAGTGTGGTTTGAATCACCCAAAAATGCCTCTGACTTCCTGTCTTTGTAGCTTGGTGGTGGTGGTGGTGTGTGTGTGTCACTCTCTCTGCCTGTCTGTGCACGTGCCGCTGTTTTCTTTGTGTCAGCATGTATGCAGAGTGTACTAATGTGTGGGTGTATAAACTCTTTTGTCTGCTGGAAAGGCTGTCACATGAGAAGCTTTTCAACATCTATGAAAAATTATTTTTATTTATACTAAACACGAAGGAATCCAGTGCCAACAGGAACACTCAATGTGGCAGCACAATGCACTTAATACCTTTTTTTATAGTCTAGTAAGCTGGCAGTCACTCGGTGAAACATGTTTTTACTAGGGATGTTCCTGGCAAATGATTGTTTAAAATTACAGGAAAAATAATCACTAGATTACTTGATGTGAGAAAGCACTAAAAATTGAGTAGAATTTAATAGCTGAGGTTAAACATTGTCTGTAAAAACATTCTGTTTATATTCTATTTAAATAGGCTGTTCCTGCACGGTCGTCTTAAAGCCAGCTGCACAGAGACCTGTGGTGTTGGCTCAGGTCAGAGCTTGTTTAAATGAAAATCAGCTTGCAGTTTGTCTGCCTCAGTGATGGGTTTGTTATAAGAACACCCACAGCACCTTTTAGCATTTCATTTAAGTGATTGACCCTAGGAGTAAATGACTTTCTTTCCAAAGTAACTTAAAGTGTCTGCAAAATCACACAATGTTTTTTTTTTTTTTTTTTTTTTTGGTAGTAGCTTTGATTTAGTTATTATTTTATTAACCTTGGATAAAGTTTTGTCTCATAAAATTGCCCTTTTTTGGTATAAGGTTTCCAGTGTTATCCTCTAAAATTTGCCTATTTTTGGTAATAAATGTCAAGGTTTTATTCTTGTCAGTTTAACTGTAAGTTTATCTTCTTTTTTTCCTCATATTTCTTTTTAGAAATGTCTTTTTCTTGTTCATTTTCAAGTTCTGTTTTTTTCCTCATCAAATCAATCAGTTGTTTCCTCAATTTTTTTTTCTTACCTTTTTGCAAGTTTTTTTTTCCAGATATTCAGATATTTTTTTATGTATTTTCTAATTGTATTTATTTATTTTATTTATAGTAAATTTGGCTTCTTTTTCCTTATAGTTACAAGTTTTTTTTTTGTCTTTAATTTCCCATTCTTTTTGTAAATATATTTGCCTCTGTTTGTAATCAGTTTGCGTCTTATTATGTACATTCTGGAAATTGTGCAAGTTTCATTACATAAAATTTCATTTTTTAACATAAATTTGACAGTTTTATTCTTGTCAATTTAAAAAAAATTACCTCCTGTAAATATTAATAATAAATAGTAATAAGGGTTAGGGTGTAGTAAACAGAAAAGGGAGAAGCCAAAGCTTGGTCACTGATTTACAGTTTTAAAAAGCTGCTTGGGGTATATTACTGCTGACCCTCTGCTGTTACCTACTTTAGCTCTGCTGCTGTTGACTGGTGTGCTGTGTGGTGAAGTAGACGTGGAACATCAAACTGCATTATCATTGATACCTGATCCAGCTTTTCAGCCAAGATCAGATCAGTTGTGAATGTCTTTGTTTCCTGCTGTGGTTCCTGTTAAAAGTCTGTGAAGGTTCTCAGTTATCCAGGTCATCGTAGACCAAGGAAGTCCTCAGACATCCTGTTTAAAAGTTGATTGGCAGTAATATTAAGTAATGATTCAGGTCATATTCGTTAAGTCCTTATGTTTTCCATATTTACAGCTCTTTGTGAAGCAGCTCCAGTAGGTGTAGGTGAACATCCGCAGAAGAAAGGTTTTAGATGAGAATGCTTAGCAGGGGATTTCAGGATGATGGGTTGAGTTTGTGAGAAAACATTTGACACTTAGAGCACAAAGTTAGGCTATGTCTGTAAATGAGGATCTCCCTTTTCTCCCTTTTTCTTTCCTCTTCTCTTTTAATTCAGTTTTTTGCACCCACTTCCTCCCACAATCACCTCCTTTTTTTTCGTTCTTTTTTTCCTAAGAGCGTGAGTCAGGACTCTATGAGAGCGCCGCCTGATTCATTTGTTTATCGTCGTTGTGTGTGGTTATTCACTGCTGAATCTGTGTTCGCCGACACGGGAGATCAACTGACACTCAAACCCGTCCTATTTGAGTTTGTCCGTCTGTCTGTGTGTGCTGTGTTTTCAGCTGCTGCCAGCAGGTTCATTAATCAATAGTGTGTGTGTGTGTGTGTGTGTGTGTGTGTGTGTGTGTGTGTGTGTGTGTGTGTGTGTGTGTGTGTGTGTTAGTTCATGCAGTTCAAGGTAACAATTGGAAATGTTAATCCCTGACACACAGTCTTGTGTATTGGCTTGTTTACAGTCTGTGCCGGGCATCTAGGTAGGTGCGAGTGTGCTTGTAAGCGCTGAGTCATTGCAGGCAGCTTTTGATGTGGTGGTGTAATTGCAGCAGCGGCATGTCAAGACACACAGCAGGGCTGAGAGGAAGCGCATCATCATCACTCAGGAATGCGCTTCCCCTCAGTTGTGGTGTTGCGCGGATAGAGGCACACCTGGATCCTTGACCCAGAGGAGGAGCAGGAGGTGGAGAATCAGGCTGGGTTCTCATCCAGCTGGTGAGGAAGTCTTGCATGCGTCTGTGAAATGTTGCTATAAATATTTCAAATTAGGCGTGTTTAGATCAGCTGGGGTAAAGGAAAATCTGCAGGAAATAATGCTTGAGTTGGGAAATCTGTTAATAATTTCCTCTAATTGTTTTGTCCACAAATTCACATTTAGCAGCACCAAAGTCATCACATTTTCAATGCTGGAACTCAAATATGCTGCTTTTTTTCTTTTTCTTTTTCTTTTTTTTTTTTTTTTTTTTTAAATCAAAAGTGGTTCACCAGAGGCTCTGAAGCATCTCAACTTCATATAGGTTTCATTGTCTGCCACAATCCTGTGGTGTGAGGCAAGATCTGAAGCTCAGAGCCTTCTCGGTAATGAAGGTAGTTAACCTTATACTCACGTCACCATAGCAACAAATGATGCACACCTAATCTGCTCATCACCTACAGTCACCAGTCAATCAGATCTTTGAAAAAAAAAATTATTCCATTGATAGGAAAAGGTAGTGGGATGGTCTTTAGAGACCAGTAGGAAGTTTATCTCTTTCCTTTGTGAACATCAATAAAGAAAAGTAGTGATTTAATCTTTAGTTGCTCTCACTAAAACCGTCTAATGCACATCTAAATGTTAACCACCTAAGCCCCACGCCCCCGGTACCGGGGGCAAAAAGGAGGAGATCACGTTTAATCGGTTATAACACGGGGTGAGAAATATAAGTCCAGACATGTGTAGTATCCACAGAAACCTCTGAATCTCGGCTAAAATGTCATATAAACCATTTCTACAACCACCAAACGCATCGAAAACAAGCCATGACTAAACGAGCAGTTATGTAAATGCACAGAAGAACTGTGTGCCAAAATTTGACATTTTTGTACAACGTCTGGATATTCATGTATTGACAGGGCTGTAAGTTTTCACTGTTTCACTTTAGAAACATAAATCTTTGCACAGATGATGTTTATGTTGGTTACTGAATTTCTGGAATCAAATGTGAACTAAGGCATATTTTTAAAAGGGTTATATGCTAAAAATTAAAAAAAGATTAGGCAAGGATAAAATCGACTTACTTTTTCTGTGTTCCAGTCTCAGTAACTTTGACACAGTAATATCTGCTTCAATATTTACACCTCTGATGAAATCTCACAAGTGTTAGCTTTATTTTGATACCAAGATTGTAAGGACAGAGTTTGTAATTGCAGAGAAATAATCAATTAAATTTGGGCATTACATTTTCGAGCAGGAAGCTCAGAAACCCCGTTGGGGCTTAAGAGGTTAATGTAATCAAATAACAGCTGTAATCCATCCTATGTCTTATTGATAGAGGTGCATTTTGACTGGCTTTCCTTCCTTCCTTCAAATTGGCAAAACTTTATTATAACTTCCAGCCTAAAGCCCACTCACCATAGGCCAACTAATTGGTCAACGACCTCATCAATTCAAGCCCCAAACCCTTGCACCCTCAAACAACTGCTGAACATCTAAAACTCAAATGTTCATTTACTTGGTGTTGGTGTTAGGGAGTCCACATCTGTAGCTAGCAACTGGTGGTTGCCTGGGGATTGCTGACTGGTTCTAGGCCTTGGTGATTGGGGCTTTACTGACCAAAGCTATTGGAGTGCATACACTATAAGAGTCCTCTTACTTTAGCCACTATTCATTTTTCTAACATAACAGTTTTTTTTTTTTTTTCTTGCTTTGTAAAATCAGCTGCCCTGCCTCAATGCTTCCGATCGGTCATATATCACCAGCACCTCCCCGCTTCATGTAAACGAACTGCTAGCCTAGATTGAAGCCTCGATTGATTTATTGACGCTGACTGCTGATGTTGGGGTAAAGCTGCGTGTCGCTTTCTTCCAGGCTCCAGTTGCTTTGGCAACCCTCTAATGTATTTACTATGAAGTCATATGTCAG